GACATATTCTCCATGTATTTTAACCAAACTGTATTGTGTAATTCATTATCAATGAATCATTTTCTTACTTTGACACTTTGAAAAGATTAATGATTATTATTTTCTCTTCTGTGTCCCTGCAGGCAGCTCCACACACCCAGTAACATCCTCCTCCTCTCTCTGGCTGTGTCAGACTTTCTTGTTGGTCTCCTGTTAATTCCAGCTGAGATTTTTAGAATCACAGTCTGCTGGGTATTTGGTGAATCCATGTGTTCACTTTATACATATCTAGGCTACATTGTTGTAACATCTTCAATAAGTAACATAGTTCTCATATCAGTTGATCGCTATGTGGCAATTTGTGATCCTCTGCATTACCCCAATAGAATTTCTGTGGCAAAAATCAGACTTAGTGTTTGTATGTGTTGGTTTTATTCGGCTTTCTACAGCACTCTTTGTACAAAGAATATCCTGATTGAACCAGGCAGGTATAATTCCTGTTATGGAGAGTGTGTGTTTATCACCAGTGATATTGCTGGCATAATTGACCTTGTTTTATCTTTTATCGTACCAGTTTCCATCATCATAGTTCTATATATGAGAGTATTTGTGGTGGCTGTGTCTCAGGCTCGTGCCATGCACTCTCATGTTACAGCTACACTTCAGCGTTCACTGAATCAAACAAACAAATCTGAGTTGAAAGCAGCCAGGACCCTGGGGGTTCTTGTAGTTGTGTTTCTGGCCAGTTTCTGTCCATTTTATTGTTACTTTCTTGTTGTAGAAGACATAGTCAGTGATTCATCTGCCTATATTGTGGTCATCATCTATTATTTTAACTCTTGTCTAAACCCACTAATTTATGCCCTGTTTTACCCTTGGTTTAGAAATGCTGTTAAAGTCATCATCACTTTTCAGATATTCAAGCGTGACAGCAGTGAGGCCAACGTAATATAGAAATACAATGAAACCTGTTCCAGTAAGATGTTCAACCAGTCAATTGATACATCCAATAGTCTGGAAATACACATTTTTATCACCTTGTTTAAATAAAAATTATATTATTGAATTATGACAGTTAAATAAATGTAAACATCAAGAGTGCAAATTTCAGTTTAAAGAAATAATTAGATTCACTTGTTGCTGAAACTGACTTTGAATTATGGCTGTCTTTAGAAACAGCAGCAGATCAAACCTCTTTTCCAGTCCTTAAAAATCGTTCCTTCCTTTTAGAATATCTTAAACTGGGAGAAAAGTGTCATTATGACATAATTGAGTGGCATTATTTAACTAGTAACACTTATGCATATGTTGAATGTGGCCTGCTATGTAAATTGCATAGAGAGATTAATATGATTAGACTGATGAGTCTAAATGTATTAGATTAATTATAAATTCAATCCTATTTATTTCACAACACAGTTTTATTGAATATAATGTTTATAATCATTTAGAGTAGTAATAGATCAATTGTATTAATTATGATTGCAGTATATGACTGAGGAAGAAAATAAAATGTAAAATAAAAGTAAAATTTACTGAAGTAGTTTGATAATTCCATATCTTTTAAATAAAAACTAGAAAACTGAAGACATTCTACGTGGTAATTAAAAACAAATGAGTAAGATACACTAGGCAAGAGTGAATTCAGCTTTTAGCTCAAAGTATTTAATCCTTCCCTCTTGAATGCCTTCTAGGCGTGAACCTTGTTTCTCTTTTCAGAACTGAGCTTTTTCAGTCATATTTCAGGCTTTGTTACAGAAAAAAAATGGTCTGGGCATGAATCAAGGTTGTGACAGTGCCATCTACCTAGAAAACTAATTGTGACTTCCCTTGGAAAAACTCATGTTTTTTAATCACAAATAACCTTTAGTGATATAAACATGTCAAAAACTGTTAGTAAGGGTATGTCATCAAATGTTAGCTTTCAAAGGTAGGTAGCAGCATAATTTTAACTGCAATGTAAACTGAATTTAGTATAGTAACAAGTTACGGTACTGCATTACTGAAAACTGTAAAGCATCACACCCAACAGTGGTAGCGACCAAATTGTCCAGTTTAGTTTGTCCATTCTGGGCTCCAGATGGGTTATTGCGTTAAAATTTTTTAATCGCGGTAATTGTGATGAAGGCATTAACATGGTAACACTAACAGCCCTACAACAAACACAAAAACAGAAGACAATATTATAATGGATTGGATTT